TGAGCACAAAAATGAACTCACCAAGTAAGCACCGAATCGCGATAAGGTATGAACTTCTCTTTTTTGCCATTAGACCGCTCAGCTAATGCGGAAATGACCATGCCCAGAGTGGTGAGGGATCTGTAAGTAGTGGCGTGTGCACCAAACTAAAATCAAATTCGTAATTTCAACTCACTTATTGATATTTCCACCTTCTTCAAGTCGTTTACCCATAGCCCCTGTTTTTCCGGCTCGTTCACTGCCAGCCAAATCGACAAGAGAAATCTTGGCTACTTTCTCTCCAGTAAACTGAAATCGCGGGCATGTTTTCTCACAAATACATACATTAACAAATGAAAAAAGCTTACGTCTTTCTCTACGTCTTTTAGGATCTGCGTGAGTGTTATGTTAAATACAGCGTGAGATCGTGAACTTTCAGCATTCATATTCGTCGCTGCCACTGTTCTTGACTTGTTCCCCTCTTCGATTAACGACGCGATTTGCTGAAGAGAAATTTCGATAAATGGATTTATGCAAGAAGTAGTGTCCATTGGGAAAAGCCGCATTTGCCCCTCTTAGGAAGTCTCATTGAAAATTCGTTAGCGAAATGCACTGGTTAAGCAATGCAAAAAGTACCTGATATGAGTCAACTGCAAGAATGGATAGGCCATCGACAAGGGGTCCCAAGATTTTGTGCTCACGAACTTTGAGATGATGTTTGTTGGATCTAAAGCGGCACTTCTTTATTTGTCTGTAATTATTTGTTTACTGCAACGCACTTCTTTGGATCCAGAAGGTCTCGAACTCGTTCATTATAAATTTCCATATATGAAACTTCAACTTTGTATTGCAGCGTTTCGCAGGTAGTCTCATGTATCCTTCGAAACACCTGACAATGACAGACTGAAGCTGTTATTCGTAAATTCACCACATTCACAATTCACACAGACCTCATTACATAGTCTAGGAATAATCCCCGGTTGTTCAGCTGTCCCCATCATGGAGTAGGACTTGCCAGAGCCTAAATTTGATCGCTTGTATTTTACTACTATTATGAGAGTTGATATTCTCAAATTACCAGTTTGTCCGTAAGCAAAAATACATGCATTATATCCCGAAAATGCATTTTCCAGTACACCAGAACCAAGACAGTTGAACACTTCTTCTTGGCCTTAACATATAGACTTGAACGGTACAGCATG